CGATGTTGAAATCGCCCATGACCAGCCAGGGGAGCTGGAGCGCCGAGAGGAGTGCGCCGAGATGAGCGAAGCGCCGAAGGTTCGCCCCACTCCATCCTACCGACGCGAAGGCGTAGAAGGCGATGACCACCATAGCGTACCCCTTCACGTGCAGCACGCTGGCCTGGAACCCGTCCGAGGCGGCCGCATTGGGAGCACGAAGATCGCGACTCGAGTGAGCTGCCGCCAGCATGTGAGTGTGCAGGTGTCGCCTCGTGAGCCACCATTCGCCACCTTCGGTTCCGCCAGCGCCAGTGCTGCGGGAGAGGTTCCCGTGTAGACGCCAACCAGCTGAGCGAGCCTTGCGGCTCCATTCATTGAGTGCGGACTCATTCCCCACGTGAGTCTCGACAAAGCCAACGTAATCGTAACTCGAACAACCTCGCTGCACGAACTCCCACGCCTGCGGCCCCATCGCAGTGATGTTCGCAAAAAAAAGGTTGCGAGTCTGCCCGTCAGATGGTGCTGCATCTCTGCTGTTGACCTGAACCCCGTCAACAAAGAGCTCCCCGTGAGATGCGTCGCCACCTGTGGTTGCCCTGGAAGAAGCGTCGGCGCAAGCATCGGCTGACCCCAGGCAGTCGGCTGCGACTGCGTCTGCCGAGCTGGCGGTGCGTACGTGAACAAAACTGGGCGGCTGAGAGGACCTCGTCGCACCCGCGCCAGCGGCGTCGTCCCACGCCGCTGGCCGCGCCTGGCGTCAAAGGTCGCGGTCCACGGCGCCGGCCGCCGACGCCAAGGGGGGGCCGCCTGGGCCCGCTGCAGGCGCTGGCGGCGTGGCTGAGGACCCAGCTGCGGAGGTGGCGGCGGAGGTGGCGGCGGCGGCCTGCTGCGCTGCGGCGAACTTGGCCTGGCTGAGCTTGGCGGCAGCGGCTGCCAGCGAAGCCTCGTCGGAGGACGGGCTCGCACTAGCGGACGCGCCCGTGGCAGGGGGCGAGTCCTCGAAGCGCACACGAGGGGTGGTCACTGAGCTCTCGGCCGCGGCCTGGCCCGCCGAGGTCCCGTCAGCCTCACTCTTCCGCTTCTTGGCCATCCTCTGACGACTCATGGCGGCGAGCTGCTTGGCCGCGGTGAGCTTCGCGCGGACCTCGCTCGAGTGCGACTGCAGCAGGTCCTTCGCCGCGAGCAGCTCCTTCCTCAGCGCCGCCAGCGTGACCTGCTCCTCGGAGTCGAGCTCGCACAGGACGCCCTCGTCGAACACCGCATCGTCCCAGTGCAGGGAGAAGAGGTCCGCTGGCTCCGCTGGAGCTGCAGGTGCGGTGCCCGCTGGCGCGGTCGCCGAGGCGGGCCCCACAACAGGCCCGAGGGCAGCGACCGCTGCGGCGGCCTTCTGCTTGGCGGCCTCCGCCTCGGCCAGGAGAAGAGCCACTTCCTTCTCGCGGTTCTCGGCCATCAGGAGCGCCTTCCTGCAGCGAAGAACTTGATCCACTGCTGCCTGATGACGGCGATGAAGATCACGGCATTCGCCCGAAGCGCGGCGGAGGGCGGCGTCAGGCGAAGGCGCCTTGACGGGCTTGGCTGCCCGCTCCGCCGCCGCCTGCGCGTGGGCCTCCACCACCTTCATGGCAGCCAGCAGCTCGGGCGGCACAGGGCCTGCTGAGGCCAGCGAGGCCGCACCTGGGCGCAGCAAGGCCTCGAGCGGATTGCTCGCGTCGGCCTGGGGAGCTGCCTCGCCGCGCGGGCGGCCGCCGTGCTGTCCCCGAGCTCGCGGCTGGGACGGTGGGCGGTACGGCGCCACGCGGCTGCCGCAAGCGCACTTCCAGCTCTGGCCGATGAGAATGTCGTCGTACTCGCAGCGGCGGCACGTAGAGCACCGCGACCAGGGGCGAGCAGCGACGGAAGCCTGCTTCCTGCCCTGAGAGGAGCTGGGGCGACGAGAAGCCCCGCGGCCCATGGTTCTGAAGCGCCGAATCTGCACCGCGCGTCGCCAGGCCCGTCGGCCTATGGCGTGCGCGGCCCCCAAGAACGCCTCGCGGAGGCTCGGCGCGGCCCCAGGGTCCCAAAGTGGGACGCCAGAGCCAGAACGGTTCTTGAAGAGGAGGAGGAGGAGGAGGAGAAGGATGAGGAGGAGGAGAAAGAGGAGGAGGAGGAGGAAGAAGAAGAAGACGAGGAGGAGGAGGAGGAGGGGGGGGGGGAGGAGGAGGAGGGGGAGGAGGAGGAGGGGAGGAGGAAGAGGAGGAGGAGGAGGAGGAGGAGGCGGGGTAGGAGGGCAAAGAGGAGTAATTAGAATAGTGATACTAGTAATACTACTAATAAGCAGAAGAAAAAGAAGAAGCAGACGAATAATAAGAATAAGCAGACTACTGACAAGAAGAAGACGAATAAGAATTAGAAACAGAAGCGGAGAGGGAGGAGAAGGAGGAAGAGGGGGAGGAGGAGGAGGAGGGAGGAGGAGGAGGAGAGGAGGAGGAATAGGGGCTCTTTACCTTTTTCCTCCTCCCCCTCCTCCTCCCCCCCCCCTCCCCCCCCCCCCCCGCCGTCTCATCCTTCTCCTCCTCCTCCTCCTCCTCCTCCTCCTCCTCCTCCTCCTCCTCTTCCTTCTCCTCCTTCAACGTTTGTTACAAAGGAACGCGCCTCGTGGCCGAGGAAGATTCGAACAGCATAGAACGTGGAACGCAGAGCACACAGCAGGCGCAGGTGAACCAAGGACCCCCCCTCCTACATCCTCCATCTCATCAGCGCACCCACGCCCCCTGTCCCAACGTTAGAACTCTGCCGGCGCTGACTGCTTTTATCCGCGCGTGGCGCGCACGAACATGCGCGCGAGAAGAAAGACGCGCGCACCGCGCACGTAACAGCACGCGCGCGAGTTCAGCAAAAAATGACCCCTGGGTAGCGCGGCGTTAAGAGCTGATACGTAAAATGTAAACCTTGACTGTGAGAGCTGGGTCAACACAGTGCGCCTGAGACGCGAAACTAAAAGATGGCGAATGAAGACGCGGCTGCAATTCTTGGGCTGCCACCGAGGGTTTCTGGGTTTACCCCTAACCTCCTGGACCTGGGGCCGCGTGCTGTTCGTTACTTTTGTTCGGGCTTGGCACGAACCCTCGTGACTGCAGACGGCAGGCTGGCCCTGCCGGCTGGCCTGTAGGCTGGCCTGTAGTCTGGCCCCGTGGGCTGGCAAGTACTGCTCGCGGGCACTCCTCCTCCTTCTCCTCCTCCTCCTCCTCCTCCTCCTCCTCCTCCTCCTCCTCCTCCCCCTCCTCCTCTCCACGCTGCCAACCATCCGTCCTCCGTGCGGCGACGCGCCGCCGCAACGGCGCCAGCTGCTTCCATTCCCATGTGGCGCACACCACGCACGTTGCACAAGATAACGGCCGAGACATCACGAGCGAAAGAGAATGCCAGGGACGACAGAAACAACAAACAAACACATGAGCGACATCGAGAGAACACACACGCGCGAAGAAAGAGGAGCGCGCCACGCACGTCGCACAAGACAACGGCCGAGACAGCACGAGTGGCCGCGAGAGAACAGACGCGCGAGATGAAAGACGCGCGTGACACGCATGTCACCCAAGACAACAGTCGCGGCAGCATGCGCGCGAGGTCAACAAAAGTGTTTTTGTTCGTAGCGCGGCATGGAAGACTGAAGCGTCACATGTAGAAGCATTGACTGTGGGAGCTGCGGCAGGAACAATTCGAGCTCTGATTGCGCTAGCAATAGGTTATCCCTTTGATTTGATGAGGCCAGCACTGTAGTTAATATGTTCGTCCTTTGTCATAACTCGAGGCGCGTCCACAACGGCATCTGCGACAATGTCTTGGGACGTGTCCACTGCAACAGCATCAGCATTAGTGGCCGATGCTGGAGGCGCGCTTGCAACAATATCGATTCCAATCAAGTGAACGCGCTCAGGCGGCTCTGAGCCCATGGCGACTGCGTCGGCCGAATTGTCCATTCTGTCTTTACCTGCTAGAGCTGCTGTAGATCGCATCGGCGCCTGTCCGTTGAAACGCATGATGCGGCTGCGCGCGACGAAGCCATAACCGATCTGATAGCCAGATGACACCCAGCCCAAGCATGAAAAGAATGTGAAGGCACAGCCGTTTGCGTCACGTCATTGTCCTCCATTGTTTTGCAAGCATTATGACGTGTTGATCAAAGGTGGAGCAGACGATGCTGCGCATTGGCCAACAGCACTGACACCACCAGGTTTGCACTGCGTGCCCGACTCGATTGAATCTGCTGAGAGGTACGGTGGCTCTGGCACCTCTTCCACCGCGTGCTGGGGCGGCGGCGGTGGATCAAGACAATTTAGGGATCACGGAACGGGTTATATTGAAGGAGGTACAGCTAAGAATATTTTCTTTCGGTGGTCCGAATCGTCCGTGTTGGTTTTCGGTACAAGCTCAGGCGCGCAGACGTCAAGACCCCATAACGATGTATAGGTTCCGCCGTTATGATTTGCTTTTACTTCGAGTGGTTCGCCCAACACTTGAAGGATATCGTGCATGAAAGAACTGTGAATGCCATTTTTCTCTAGCGGCGTAGCAAAGCCCTTTACATGCCGTGTTACTTTCCTATACTGTGAGCGGAGAGCGAAAAGCAAGAGGAGTAGCATTGAGAGATGTGCAAGCCATGCAAGCCGTGCCTCTGGAAGCTAGGCGAAGCAATCCAGGATGAGTTCTCGGTGATCGCGGGCGACCGAAGCCCACCTGAGGGCCGGTCGTCGCGCTTGGCAGCAGCACGCGCCTGAATCGCTCGAGCGGGCCGCGGCTCCTCCTCCTCCTCCTTTTCCTCAATAGCCATTTTAGCTCAAGCCGTTCTGGCTCTGGCGGGGGGGACCCGCAGAGCTTCAGAAGGCGTACTTCAGAGCGGCCTGCCTGCTGCGAACAATGTCAGGGCTGTGAGCGCGGTCGACGACGCGGCGAGGACGAGGCGGCCCTCGGCTAGCCGCTGCTCATCGCCCGCCGCGGGACTGGAGATCGTGGTGCACTCGTTCCACGTCGCCGACGGGATGGTGGCCGGGTTCTGTGCTGGAACAACGAAGGGCGACGGCGAGGCCGGTGAGGCCCGTAAGCGCACCGCTGGCGAGCAGGCGGGAGAGGTCCTCGGAGGAGGCGCTGGGCCAGGCCCTGCGGTCGAGGCCTTCATCGGAGACCTTCCGACCATTCGGGGGGAATGCGGCGAGGGCACGGGCGAGGCGCTGGAGCAGCTGTGCGGCGAGCTTCCGCCCGTCCCCGCCTTGCCGACGGTGGTGACAACGACGGATCGGCGCTTCGGGGGCTTCAAGGCGCCGTTCCCTGTGGTCGAGACGCGGGGAGCCGCAGGGAGCTCGCAACGCATCGCTGCGAGCCGTGCCTGCGAAGGCCCACCCTCGGCAGAAACTCGGCTCCCGCCCCAGCCTCGGAGACAGGCAGCAGCGCGAGGGGAGGCCAACGAAGAGGGCAAGAGCAGATCTCGAACCCATTCGGCTACCTCCGCAAAGTCGGCGGACTTCACGGTGCCGAAGATTGTGTCCCAGGAGATCGAGAAGATCCAGGGTGCCGAGATCGTGAAGAACGTGGAGGTGCCGAAGGCCGAGTCCGTCGAGTACACCGTTCGCGATCTGAAGGTTGAGACCGAGAAGGACGACAAGATAGCGGAGGTGCCGACGGTCGAGCACGTCGGGAACATCGTCCACTTGCCGAACGTCGTGTTCGCGAAGCAGGAGGCTGGGGTCTCCAGCGAGGTGTTCACGGCCGAGGTGGAGACCTACGACGAGGAAGAGGTTGGCGAACCCGACATGTTCGGCTACAGCGCTGAAGTCAGGGCGATGCCGCACGCGGGAAAGAAGAGGAGCTGGGCTGCCACGGTGGAGGCCAACCAGACGGCCTTCGCGAAGGCGGCCGCGGCGGAGGCCTGCCGCATCGCCATCTGGCGGCTCGAGCACGACGTGCTGGTGGGCGCCGAGGGGCAGGCCCGATCCTAGGAGGCGCCGCAGAGCCAGGCCCCTGCGGAGGTCCAGGAGCACGTGGAGGCCGAAGCGGTGGAGGCCGAGAGGACCGTCGAAGTGGATGCCTTCCTCGGTCTCGCGCAACTGCTCGTGGGGCTCGATCCGCAGCCGCTCAGCAAGCTGACGGTGGACCCGTGCTTGAAGATGCTGAAGGGAATGGCTGATCATGAGAGGGATCTGTACTTCGAGGCACTCCGTCGCTCTATCGACCTCGATGGCGGATCCTTTGATAATTTGTTCTCTGCGCTCGATGAGCTCCTGGCCGGCCTTGTTGAGTACGGGTGCTCGGACCAGCTAGGCAGGGCTAAGGAGCCGAGCAGCAGGTGAAGGGCGTCGGGCTCATGAAGCTGGGAGTCGCGCTGAAGGGCCGGTTCAAGCCTGCGCGTCTGTCATCGCGTTCTCAGAGGAGTTGATCGTGTTCGTGGGCATTGGCCCTGAGTGCGTGTACTCGGAGGCCTGAACGCGCCGCCGCGGCGGCAGGCAGATTTCCGCACAGGCTCCCTTGCATTCCATTTCTCCTCCTCCTCCTCCTCTTCCTCCTCCTTCTCCTCCTCCTCCTCTTGTTCCTCCTCCTTGTGCGTGTCCTTGTCGTTTCCTCCTCCTCCTCCTCCTTTTTCTGCCCCTTCCCCTCCTCATCCTCCTCCTCCTCCTCCTTCTCATCCTCCTTCTTCTCCTGCTCCTCCTGCTCCTCCTGCTCCTCCTGCTCCTCCTGCTCCTCCAGCTCTCCCCCCTCCTCCTCCTCCTCCTCCTCCTCCTCCTCCTTCTCCGCCTCCGCATCCTCCTCCTCCTCCTCCTCCTCCTCCTCCTCCTCCTCCTCCTCCTCCTCCTCCTCCTCCACATCCTCCTCGTCCTTACTACGTTGACAAAGGGCTATAGGACTATAGTGCTAGAGGGCTTTTAGAGCTATAGGGCTATAAGGCTATGAGGCTACAAGGCTGTAGGGCTATAAGGCTATAGGGCTATAGGGCCATAGGGCTATAGGGGTATCGGGCTATAGGGTTATGAGGCTATAGGGCTGGAAGGCTACAAGTCTGTAGGGCTACTGGGCAGCCGGGCACCCGGGAACCTGGGCAAACCGGGCACCCGAGTACATGGGCACCCGGACACCCGGGCGTGCCGCCGAAATCGGCGCCAACCCCTCACCTATCAATATGGATACGCTAGGACCCCTACAGAGGCAAGCTCTGATTGAGGAAAAAGGACGCGACTCGGGTCAAGCGCACACCCGGCGGGCGCCGCGGAAAATGCAAGAGAACGAGCGCTGGCGAAGACTTTTCGTGAGAGCAGGCGCCCGCCAAGTGTGACGGCACTCACCTTAGTGGGTAACACCAGAAACGTAAGGTCAACAGACAACTGAGAAGCCTTAGATCAATGATGAGTGCCGTCGTGTCACAAGGTAATGTAGCGATCGCCGTGCGTACGACAAAGGAGACGAACGGTACTGTGCAGTTCTAGGGTTGCTGCCCAAGGTTTTGGCGTACCCCAAACCGTAGCGCATGTCCCCTCCAACCCCCGCCAGTGATATGCCCACCACCCGCCTGCCAAGAGAGGTAAAGATCGGTACTGCTGCTGTGCAGCCAGTACTCTGAGGCTAGGGGTCAGCCCCTGTGGGGACCCAAGTGTGCACTGTGTGTGTGTGTGTGTGTCTGTGTGTGTCTGTGTGTGTGTGTGTGTGTGTGTGTGTGTGTGTGTGTGTGTGTGTGTGTGTGTGTGTGTGTGTGTGTGTGTGTGTGTGTGTGTGTGTGTGTGTTGCACTGGGGTTTTGAAGGTTCTTCTTTAACCTCCAAAAAAAAACCCTCCTCCTCCTCCTCTTCCTCCTCCTCCTCCCGAAGGAGCGTCCATGGCAGTGGGGGCGGCCGCCGGCCTTTACGCTCGCGGGGCTGCGCGCGAGGCCCGCCAATATCAACGCCACCTCCCGCACCACCACGGCGTCGCCCGCTGGCCCGCCCCGTGGAGGCAGGACGCGCCGAGCGTAGCTTGAAGGGAAGAGAGGTGCACCTGTCCTGGACTTTCGCGGCCCCAGAGGGCCCCTTTAGGGCTCTCTCTCCGCAATCCCCGATGCCCCCCCTAATTATGCATCCCCCTCCCTCCACTGCGAAAGCGCCCACGCAAGGTGCCGCGCTGGAGGGTCTCCCGGGTCAGTTCTGCTGGGGGCGCTCCTGCTCGCCATGGTCGTGGCCGTCGTCATCGTCCTCGGGGGCGCGTTGGCGTTGCTTACTTAATGGGGGGCGATGAACGGGGGGGGGCAACGACACGTGCACCTGTTGGGCCCCAGGGTGCCTCCAGGGCCCCAGGGGGTGCTCGAATGGTGCGCATTTCCTGGCCCCCCCGTTGGTCGCCCCCCCCCAACAAAAAAAGCAACGCCCGAGGCGTCCTCCTCCGCCGCGAGCTGCGTCCGCTGCCGGCGCCTGCAGCGGAGGCTGTGCAGTGGCGCGCCGCGCGCTGTGCCACCGCACGGGCCTTGCGCCGCCAGGCTCTGCAAGCACGCCAGCCGAAGGCCACGGCGGAGCAGGCTGCGCGGAGAACCCGGAGAGTACCCGTGCCCAGCACGGCCTTGCACATGCGAGACCTTCCGCCCCAGAGAGGGAGTCCCCTGACAAATTTGATGGGGCCATGGCTCGCCTGTGCCCCTCCAAAGCGCCCTCCGCCTCTGCCCCGCAGCCGAAGAGGGGCCTGCGCGGGGGCTTCAAGGAAACGTACTTCACATCCCCATCGCCCGAGGCCTGGCGCCCGAGGCCACGAAGTCCAGACCCCTCGGAGGGCACGCGCTCGTGACGCCGCCCGACGGCGCGCGGGCAGCTCAGCCAGCGGGGTTTTTGCTTGTGGCGGCGCGCGCGGCCGGGCATTCGAGATGCCGCCGTCGCTCGTCGCGATGCGGGCCGAAGAGTCCTGCTCTCTGAGGGGCACGTTAGGGGGGAACCAGACCAGTGGGGGAAAGGGCAATGCATCGCCGACAGATCGGCGACTGGCGCACGATAGCGAAACCGAACGTTCCTGGGTGGGGTGGGCTATCTAGACCCCGTCAACGATCAATGGACGATTGGGGGTCGATGCGCCCCCCCCTGGGCCTATCCCCCTCCTAACGTTGCACTTCGCACTCGGGCCATGAGTCGGCTCTCCAACGGCCGTTCGGGACGATCCAGGCACCCCCGGAACGCTGTCGGCGAGGCGCAGCCCTGGAGAGCATCCTGAGGCTGCAAAACCGCCGAGAACGACCGAACACCCAGAACCTCGCACAGGTGTGGCACTGCCAGAAGGAACGCCGACTCACGAACGGCGGGGCTTTCCTGGCCACGGCGGGCCTCGTCCACGAGGAGGTTCCCCGACCAGGAACCCCCTGCCGTCGGTCCGTCTGCGAACCAGGTGTGCCGCGCGCCCGCGCGAGGGACCCGCTGTAGACGGATCTACCCTTTCTCCGGAGTTGTATAACGCAAAACGCAACGACCGCACGCATCCATGCCGAACGTGTCTGTGTAGCTAACGACTCCCAACGTGTCCATAGACGCCTCTGGCAAGAATGTGCGAACGGCATTTGGCACAGGCCCCAGATGATGGACCACTACGACAACTACGTCCTCGGTATCGAACCCGTGTGGTTGGGCCTCGCATCCGCGAGGTGCTGAGAGTTGTCATGAACCTTTTTCTTTGTGCTCCCGACCGAGGGCAACCACCTTTTGACACGTATGCCACGAAGGGCTACATGAACTGGGTCATCACGTATGGCCAGCCCGTCGAGGGCACTCACGTACACATAGCATTACCTCATCATGACGCCCCATCGAGGGCGCGTAGGCGTTCACGACGTTCGCCTGCGTGTATCGTCTCTTCGACATCCCTGTACCGCCGTTCTCGGCTACTGGCCGACGCCCGCGGGATGGGTGGGTTATCCATTCCCCGGTTGGCTACCGTGCCGCCTTCTATTCTTCATCCTGGCTGTCGGAAGGTGCTCGTGCCATGGGGCCATGGGATCGTGCCGACGACGGCGGGATGGGTGGGTAATCCCTTCCCCGGTTGGCGCCTTCAACGTGGAGTCAGAGGCCTAGACACGCACTTCTAATTACTTCGTCGGCACCCCGGGGCGTTGCGTCCTCTAAATCGCTGGTCGGTGAGTTCTCATCTGTCCCACGGCCGACTTCTTTCTGTTCCGTTCCTTTGGCGGAATTCTTCTCCTGCATGTCCATCGGTGGCTACATGGCCGCCGGGTGTGCGTCATTGGCCACCCCCACATGACAAGGAATTCACACCCATTTTGGCGTGAACTACATCATCATGATGTTCAACTGGTTCGAGACCGAATTATTTTCGGTCATCTTCTTCAACGTTTGTGGACCCTAGGCCAGAGTCAGCATGATTCATATTCAGAATTGGCGCGGGGCCCCAGATAATGATCGGACTTCTAGAAGCAGCAGGTGAACATTTTACCCTCCAACCTCGCAGGCCTCGCAAAATGCTCGCCCGGCCCGCTTCTGGCCCGGTTGGAGGCACAAACAACGGCACAAACATAAACTTTTGGTTGTCCGCGCAGAATTATTGGATCCGAGCTGGACCCCCCTCCTTGGCGCGCGGAACGCGCCAGGGGTGGCGCAAGAGGCGCCGCCAGGTACGAGACCTATGTGGCATCACAGCAGCAATTCGGCCCCTGACTTTCGTCCTGGGTTCGTTTTAGTGAAGTGATAAGTTTCAGGGTCTTTACGTGGGAGAAAACATCACTTCACTAATCTGGGGCCCCTGGGGCCTCAGTGGGCCCTGGGACCCAAAGTTAGTGACGTGATGGTTTTCAGGCCTCGGACCAGGGCGCTCCAGCGCAAATCCAAGAAATCCGCGCGGAGTCCCAAAACTTTTGCGCTGATGCTGTTTTTTTGCTCTTGAACCAGTGGCGCCTTCGGCCCTCGCTCGCGGAGGCCGTCGGGCTGCCCCGCGCCGGCCACCTGCAACGTATGTGTGTTCTGCCCCGGGCCCGGCGCTCGCGCAGAGCGGTCGGGCAGGCGCAGGGCCTCTCTGTGCAGCAAGCCGATGCGCTGCAAGAGGGAAAAGTTAACGGGGGAAGAGGGGACGAGGAGGAGGACGAGGACGAGGACGGGGAGGATGGCGGCCCCCTGGGACCGCGCAGGGCTGGCCATCAACAGTATACGTGCGAGCCAAGAGCACCTTCCCTCCAACCCACATCGTCCACGCCCGCCCAGCAGGGGGGGTGCGCCACGGTACGCCGAAGGACTGGGCCTTGGAGCAGGGGGCCCCGGGAGCGGCCTGGCCCGAGACACCCTGGGAGTTCGGAAAAAGTTCAGTGGGTTCCTGGGATTTGTTGTTGGGGAAATATTGGTTATTGGGAAGGGGGCAGCAAGAGAAAAAACGAAAACACATAAAATAATAATAGCCAACAATAAGAAGAATAAGAGGAAGAAAAAGGAAAAAAAAGAGGGGAAATCTGAATAGGAAACGCGGGATGCAACGCGCGCGAGGGCCAGGCGGGCCAGCCGTGAAGAATTGCGTTGGGAATCGAATTCCAAACCAGGCGTGATCGTCTCCTTTTGCATCCCAGTGTTTCTCCCTCGCCCCTCGTCCTGTTCCTTTTCGCTATTTCTCGTCAGTTTCTTCCTCGTCCTCCCTTGAAAGTTGCCCCCCAAAACTGTCGCGAAACGCGATCCAATCAGAAGTTCGAAGCGTACCCGGCCGCGACGACGAGGGCCTCCCGGGAGGCCCGCAAGACGCTGGGCAAGCAACAGGCCCAGATCCCTTTGCTGGTTGTCATGAGTGAAGAGGGTCGTGGTGGACACGGGCCATGGGCCTTGGGGCTCTCCCAAGGCCTGGGCACTCATCCCGACTCGACGTTGACAAAATTCCGGGGGCCAACGAAATGCAGGAACCCTTTCATCCAGAACCCCTTCTCCTCGTCGTCCTCCCCTCCTCAGGCCCCTCTTAGATACTCGGATGCTGTTGGCTAAATTAAGATGCCCGAAGCGCCCTGGCACACCGCGGAAGCACGACAACGTTTCTACGCCGGCCTTAATGTTCGGATCCGCGGCCCCCCCACCTGGGCGCATGTCGACCCAATTCTCGCCTGACTGGCACAGAGCCGTCGGCAACGAATGAGCAGACAGCTACTCAAAAAAGTGCGCTCTGTCATTACCCCAGCCGTCCGAGGCAGAGAAAGAAAGCTGGACAGACGACTCAGCGACCCTTCGGAGGTACTTTTGCATGCTGTGCAAGCCCTTTTCCTCTGCCCCAATATTGCCCCCCCGAAAGCAATGGGGTCGACTTCGAAAAATCGCTAGCGGAGGAGGGCTTCACCACAGGCATCGGCGCGGCGCGGCGAGCGCTACCTGACCCGCCTCCATCCTCTTTCCCTCTTCCCCGCCCTGACCCCCGCCTGCGCCAAATCGCCGTCCGCGCAGCCCCATCCGAGAGCAGTTGGGCATGCAAGCGCAGCAGGTGGGTATGCCGCGATTGTCTGACCTTCGCCAGAAAGGCCAAGAAACCGGCACCGACCAGCAGCCCATGCAGAGGCCACAGCGAGGCCTTCACCCAGCTGGTGCAGAACCCTCGGGAGCACGTCCTGCCTATTTCCAACTACCCTCTTGGGGAAATATTCATATGCAGCGCGCGCGGTGCAAGTGCAATTTGGAGATCACATCGCACGGCGCCAGGCGCTCTTAGCAGCGCTTCAGTCGCCAGCAACACCCGAATGTCAAGAGAGGCCCAGCCCAATGCTTGGACGAATGTACGCCGATGTCGGCACTGCTTCAACCGTAGCTCACCCCCCTCCTCATGCCCACCTCTTGCGCAGCCGCATAGATAGGCGCGTCGGCAGTTGACCATTGCTGTGCGCATAATTTTGGCTTCGTCGGCCGCTTCAGCGACGCCGCCAATCCATCGCCGCGCGGGGCGCCGATATCAACATCGTTTCCATCGTCGCGGCATCCATCGCCGGGGCGGCGGCC